CCCCCCCCCCCCCGGTCTCGAGCAAGCAGACGGCTCGACATCCGTTTTGGTCTTTTGCTCTAAAGGTCCTTCCTATCTCCCCTGAATGCAGGTTACAGGCGTGCAGTCTGATTGGCGCACGATAAAGCCCACACAGACAGTCTAAGCATCTGCCTGCGGTAATCCCGGAGCCTGGGATGACCTTGAGAGATAATCCATTGAAAAGTAGTTAGGGAAAAGTAAATATATCGTTCCACAAGCAATGGCTAGATAACTGAATGTGTGAAATAAAAGCTCGGTCAGGACTCAATTAACTTTTTAGCAGGGTTGTGTTACCTGGCCATGCACTTACCTGAATTCCACGCAAACTCCGCGCTTAGGGGGAATCACCTGAGTGGCACGCTTTGCAACGGTGTGCTCCACGCTCCACACCGTACTTTGTGGGGAGGGGAGTGTTGAATTGTTGGGTCTTATGAGCATCGTGATAGCAATCAGGGAGCCAGTGCTCATTTTTCCGCAACGTGGTCTCGTTCTAGTAGTTTTCACAAGCGTGTACGAGTAAGGGCTTATACTGCGGTCCATTTACTGTGCCTTCGATGTACAAATGGGGAAGGGGAGGGCAATTATTTCAACTGGACATATTTTCAACGGAAAGCCTCAGTACCACGTTTCAGTATAGGCGAAGGACGCAGACTACATCAGTACTTAGGTGATGATTTGCCTGAAAAGTTTCATTCCCTTCACTGAGCTGGCACCATTAAACATTACGTGTAAAAACATGCAGCTTCGGTGGCCAAACCACCAGCTCTCTGTCCAAAAGCAGGAAGGCACACTTGCGCAGACGAGTAGGGGAAACATGGCATCTCAGTATCGAAAACCCGCCAAAAATGAACAGTGCTAAATTAAAATTCGGTAAATTTGTCTGAATTACTTACCCTTAATTAGTAGTAGGTTTAGAGAAAATCGATAGGCGACGCAGCACGCGATACACTTAGATCCTAAAATGCGATCACGGTTAGAGAGGGTTGCTTATGTGGGAGTCTGAATACCGAGCAGTATGCAGCATATATCCCAAAGATGCCTTTCGTCAGAAGGCACGTCCTTCCGGTCATCTGTAAAAATCCCACTCGCTATGAAACGACTGCTCGAGTGGTATGACTAATTTAAATTAATCTCCGATGTATTTATAGATCCAAATATCCTTTACGGGAAATCTGCACTAAATATGCCTTCTTATGCAAGTTTCATAATAAACGACGTCCTTCCGTAATTATCTATCCGAAGAAGGGGCATATTAGGACTTAAAAGTTTTTCAATTCCCGATTTCAACTTCGCCTGCTGTCGCAAGTGGACTTCTCATTTCAGTGGAGTAAGACATTTCACCATGCTATTAGGGGTCGTAAGGCGCGCAAGAGATTTTGTGATGGAACACTGGTGGAGATGCAGATACGACGCGACTCAAATAAGAATTCCATGGTCTGGCAATTATAAACTTTTAAAAACCTACAGATGCAATTACCGACGGCGCATGACTCAGTGGCCACCGAGCGAGGACTCCCTTCACCATTGCTAACGTGACCAAACAAACTATTCGGATCAACGCCCTTTCTAAGAACTAGCGGCCCGAAAATATCTTGCTCTTGCTCGTTAAGTGTGTCAGGTATCCCATCCGTGAGAAGGCATCCTCCATCAGTAACCCAAAGTCCCCTCAACCGCCGAATACCGAGGACGTTTGGTCCTCGAAACTGAACAAATTTCCTAAAATACTCTCTTACTCCTCCTACTTCTTCCCTCTGGTCTGATGGTTTAGAGGATGCGTGCAAGAGTGAGGGGTATATGTTTATTGAGGAAGATCGTCGGTATCATTAAAAGATTAGAAAGAGCGTCGGTTGAGGACGTGAACTGCTTAAAAGAATGACAAAATTCTTGAAAGTTTGGTCGATGAATTAGTAAAAGACCGCACAATTACAAAATGAGATAGCATGAAGAAGAATTAGCTGGTAAAAATAATCCGGAGGCGCAGTGATGTCGGTTGAAAAAAAGATGAGTGTTCAAAGATTCGTGGCCCGAGCCTGGGACTGGTAGTAATTGGCCAGGACAGCCCAGGCGGTGGGAGACATGAAACCATCCGGTGGAGTATGGCCCTCTCGTGCCAACGTGCGCATTTTAGTGCCTGAGATGAAGAGGAAGTCATCCGCTCGGCTAGAGTCGTAAATTTCCATACGTCCTGTTCGTTTGTTGTAAGCCGCCACAGTGAAGGGAATTATTTCTAGACCCGGCAAACCCGGTGCCAGAGAGAGAACCTAAAAGATCAATACGAAAGCAGTGAAAACGAGGACGTGTTGAATAAGTTACGGTTAATAAGTCCACGCCACTGTCTGTGTAGGACTATCAATATATAGCGAAGGAATGCTGAGAATGGGTAATGCGTTGTACGCAGGGTTTTTGGGCAGTCATTCTGTACCTGCGATGCAACCGGTTCTCCTAAAAGTTTTCCTTACGATTACATATATTTATATATACACTGGTAGGGCATATGTGCTTTTTCATGAAACATTTACCGAAATTCTGAGATATGTTGTCGATTCGAAAAGACTGCATAAGTAAGGTTGGATTAACGATTATCGTGCAGCACCATCTAAAGATGTTTCGGTCGCGCCCGTGTGCCGGATTTCAGGCGAGCTTCTTTTCGGTTGCCTGTGAAAACCACATTCCGCAAAAAAGACTACTTAAATAGTATGAATTTCTTACATTGGCTATCGATGCCTTTGTGACTTCCGATATGTCTTAAAGAAAACACATAGAAAAATATCCTTTCTTGTACTCCTTTGGTGGCGACTTACGTCTCCTTCAAATTTTATACTTAACAAAAGGATATGTTTCGGTTTTAAAAAACTTTGCCTGTTCTAAAAAATTTTGAACTCGACCCCCGCCCCTTACACTTGCATCCAGTGTTTCCAAACTACAGACTGTATATTTTCCGTCTAAGGAAAATCACATAATTTTGTATGCCATTAAGGATATATTACATAGGGCTGATGTGGACTAAGTTGTATATTTTAAAAGTAGCATCAACAAGCTGGCAGATGCATTATACATGGACAGTCCACGGCCTTAAAAAGTGTCATAATAAATTATCTTCTAAAGACCAAAAAATACCCTTTCCTCGAGTATGGCATTAGGAGGCGAGATTTTCTACCAAATGAGGATAAGACGTGATACTTTTGTGCAAGTCTTCTGTAAAATATACCCGAATTTATGGAGACGCCGAAAATCGAGAAGAATTCGTACTATTTAAGTAGTCATTGTAGTGTAGTTCTCGCACCCGGCCGGAAAGAAACTCGTGCGTATTTTCGTCTCTCAAACGGATCACGCGGTAGATCCGATGGGCCGACACAGGAACTAGATTGGGTTCCCGCAGGTATTATTGGGAATGAACACCCATGACAAATGCCAACACTCGGGGTGCGGTAGCAGGCCCAGTCGCCGGTTCACGCCGCTCCCATTGAGATCCCTACCTCCCTCCATTGCTGCGGTTGAAATCCTGGTCAAGTGTCCGTTGTGGCCCAGGAGGTGTGGAGCCAGCTGTGACATAACATTTTGCTTAACTTGACCAAGGCTGTGAAGATGAATTTGACATTCCAAACGGTCGGCCAGATGGCCACAAGTTTAATCCTGGGGTCTGGCAGAGGTCACACGCGTCTCCAGATCACGCTAATCGGTCGGCCGCGGTCATGCGGAGCGGAAGCCGCGACCCACGGACTGGAGCAACGGAGGCAGTCGGGTCAGGCAGTACCGCATTTTTGGTGTAGTCGATGGATAGGAGAATCAGCACTCTGGTGTTCTCTGTCGCGTGGAAAGAATGTGTTGGAGGCAACAAAGTGCATTACTGCAGAGTTGGACGTGGGTTTCGGCCATCTTCCGGCAGCTTCCATGCCCAGGCAGATGAAGGATTGGGTGGGGCGTAAGGTGACCAGTCGGGAGTAGTTCATCAGATTTCATGTCATGACTGCTCCTGCCATTATGCAGGCCAAACAGGGCAAGGAATCGAACCGCGAACCCTCGAGCACAAAAGAACCATTCGGAGAGGTGACCCACGGGCTCAAGTTGTTACTCACACTCTTGAGGAAAGCCATCAGTTCGACTGCCAGACACCTGCGCTTTCCCTCGCCTCCGGTCTTCTTGACTCTGTCATGACGCCGGGGCCAGGTAGGGGAGGAGAATGCGGTAGATGCTGCCTATTGTAGGGTTCTTACCACACGGGAGATAAGGACACAGCACGCATTCATCGGGCTGCACGAAGTGTGTACATCGCATATCAACGGACGCTCATGGGCGCAAGCTCAAGACGCGCCGGTCGCATGCGCCTAATCCCAGCATCAGCTGGCTGACCAGGTCGGACAGTGGACTGGTGCTTAGAAGGAAAGAGAGTGTGTATGAAGTCGACTCTGGAGACCCTGTTACCGCAGCACTTCCGCGCATTTTCTCAGCATAAACAACCTGACACGCTTTTAAATTATCGCGAAGGGCTAAAAAGCAGGGCTTGGAAGACTGTCAACTGGCGGGATAACTCGGTCCTCTCCGGAAGAGAATCAGATTGCAATGGGGCCTTCTCGGTGTGGCCTCCATGGCAGTTCTACTCAGATGGGATCCGAGCCGATCATCACATGTTTCTGTGAAGACCCGACCAATCTCACGCGGTCGAGACCTGTGGTACGTATAAACGGGCCTTGTCAGCCATTACGTCCAATCCCGCCTCTCATTGTCCTGATCCGGCCTTGGCAGTAGTGCGGCAGATGCTGCGCAAGTCTGCTATCATTATAATACGACAGCTCAACCGTCGTGATCGACGATGTCAACCGTATGCTTCACACAAGACGAGAGTAGGAACGGTGACTTGCGCCTGGATTAGATCTGCGAAAGTAGACTTGCGCAGTATCTATCGCGCTCCCTCCTTCTCCCCCAACTTGGGTCCGGCGTCAAGACAAAGTCAATGAGACGGGGGGAGGAAGAGGGCGCAGGTGACTTACAGGGCGTAAACCAGCACCTGAGCATAACAACACACCCCCCGATCCACAACAGACACTTGATCAGGATCTTGACCAAAAACAGGAGGCAGGAATCTCAATTGGAGCGGCACGTGCCGGCGGCCGGGCCTGTCACCGTACCCCGAATGTTGGCATTTATTGTGGGTGTGCATCCTCGATAATGCTTGCCAGAATCCAAGTACGTTTTGAGACAGAACGTCAGGAGCTGGATGAAGTTCTGTCTCAAGACGTACTTTACGTTCGACGGAACAATCTATGAGC